CAGTCAGGCCCCACAGCTTGAAGGTCAGCTGGAAGCCCGCTAGGCACTCATGGAGTGTTTCACTTCGCCACAAACCTCCCTCACGCCATGAGCTGAAAAGCCAGAAAACAAACAATCGCCACTCCAACTACAAGAATGTGGTCTCCAAATACCATGTCCCCCAGTACCAGAGCTCCTTGGAGAAGTGACCCAGTCTGGGTCTAAGGCAGGAAACATGGACGTGAAGGCAACACATGGTTATGCCACTCTCAGGGAAGGGATCCAAGAAACCCCTCAGGCTGAGTCAGACGGGCTCCTGCAGCCAGAGAGGGAATAACTGGAGCTTTAGCAAGTATGATAACAGCAACCAAATAAAACACACCAAATATGTTTAAATCCATACATTCAGAATAATGCAAAAAATGAATGTGGTCATCATTGCAAGATGCCAGGGAATCAATTTTCAAAACTGGTAAACAAAGAAAAAACCTGCTACCTGTCTTTCCTTTATAAATTATATCACTGGGCCCTGCCTCCACATGAGCAGGGACCTGGGAAAACACCTCAGCTTCAGTGGAATGAGTTGTTTTTCTTTTTAGGTTTGATCCTAATTTTTTAACTCATGTCAATTTTGTGATAGAGACTGACTGTAAAACAGAAAACACTTGGAAAGTGTACAAAAATGTTCAAAGTAGTCACCTCTGGAGGGGTGATAGAAAGCTATTTTCCTTCATATTCCTCTATCTTCCCCAAAACGTCTACAATGGGCATGCACAGATCTTTAAAACAAATTACATATTTGATTTTTTAAATAACCCGCTCTTTCTTCAATACTATTTATTTATTGTCTTTAATCTTAACTTTCAAATTGAGTTGGTGACCTTCAAAATTAAAAATCCCTACAAAAGGCAGCACGAAAACATTTAAGCTTCTAATTTTTTAGGCCGTTTTGACTATCCTGAGAACACTAAAACACAGCTATTCAGGGCCGGCCCGGTGGCGCACTGGATAGTGCACTGCTTGGGAAGCGCGGCGGCGCTCCCATCCGAGGGTTCGGATCCCACATACCGACCGGCTCCCGCTCACTGGCTGAGCGAGGCGCGGGAGCAACACCGAGGCTTGCGATCCCGTTGCCGGTCCCCGGTCCGGTACGGGGGCAACACTGAGGGTTGCGATCCGCTGCCGGACACGGAAAAAAGACAAAAGACAAAAAAAATAAAAAAATAAAAATAAATAAATAAAACACAGCTATTCAAGTTTCTTCACAAACTAATTTTACATTAATAGTCAGTTTGCCAGGAAGTGTACCTCCTGAGGCCCGTGGTGCTGCCTTGGGGGTGAGGCTCAAGGGCCTGTTTGGAGCTGACAACCTTCTTTGGGAAGTGGAGCCACTCACAGGGAAACAAAGCCACCACCGTCCTGGTTCAGGGGCCACGCTGCAGCGTGCGTGATGAGAGGAAATGAACCCACACATTTCATCAAAGCCTCCCTTAGGAATGTGCCAAGGCCTATGTCCCATACACAAACTGGACACAAAATATGTAAATATGCAGATTTGAACTGAATTCAAATGTTAAAAGCACTGAAGAGGGGAATCTCAAGAATTCTCAGACACACGCAACCATGCCCCCGCTAAACGGAGTTTGGGAGTGGAGCGGGAACGGGGCACCCAGGCTGATCCACCAGAACTCCAGCCATTGCCTCGAAGCTGCAGCTCCAGCAAGGGCACCCGAGAGACTAGAGCACAGGGGCCACAGCACACAGAAGCGCCTCTTGCACTATTTGAAGGAAATCCCGCCTGCATGCCCAAGGAACAGCAGCCTCCAGGTCACCGGCTTCCCAACCACTCCAGACCTGAAGGAAGAGGGGTGTGTCGGCTTTCTACTGGTGCCAAAACAAGTTACCACAAAGGAGGTGGTCTACACAACACAGACTTTGCACCTTACAGTTCTGGAGGCCAGAGGTCCAACGTGGGTATCACCGGACTAAGATCAAGGCTGTTTCCTGCTCATTCGAGTCGCTGACAGAACCCAGTTCCTTGTGGCTATAGGACTGAGGTCCCAAGTCCTCACTGGCTGTAAGACATCAGCATTCCCAGCTTCCAGAGGCCACAGTACTTTCTGGCTTGTGGACCCTTCCCCATCCTCAAAGCCAGCAAAAGAGCTGAGTCCTTCTCACGTCAAATCTCCCTGAAATCTCCTGCTTTCCTTGTCCACTTTCAAGGACCCTTGTGATTAGATAATCCAGGACATTCTCCCCATCTCAGAGGCCCTACTCTTAGCCACATCTGCAGAGCCCCTTGGCCATGTGAAGTGACATACTGCAGGTTCCCAGGATCAGGGTATGGATGTCTTGGGGGCCATTATTCTGCTCACCACAGAGGGTGCACTTGTTAAAAATTCAGATTCCAAGGACCGGCCCGTGGCTCACTCGGGAGAGTGCGTTGCTGCTAACACCAAGGCCACAGGTTCGGATCCTATATAGGGATGGCCAGTTAGCTCACTGGCTGAGCGTGGTGTTGATCCTCTTACCAGTTGTCATTATAAAAAATAAAAAAATTCAGATTCCAGCCCTAACTCTGGAAATTGGAATTCACTATTTTAGCTCAACCCTAGTTTGCCAGAGTAGAAATATTCCTTTGCAACATTAGGAACCCACTTCCCCACTCACTTCCTTATCTGGGATGCTCTTTGGATGAGGTGCTCACCTGCACCTCCTGTATTTCAGCAGTGTTGCATAAATGTTAAACTCTCAGTCTGCTGCAGGGCCTAAAGGCTCACAAACTGATGGATTTTGGATGTGACTAGGGCCATTGTGCACACAATAAGCACAAAATAGCCACCACCTTGTCTTCCATTCCAGCACCAAACCCCTCCCCCTTTCCCTTTATGAGGAGCCTCCTGACTTTAAACAGAAACCCTTTTGCTTCCGCAAGGGTGGAGTTCTCCACCCTGGTCACTGTAGTTTCCATATTAGCATAATGCCCCTCTTTGATGGTATCAGCCAACCCTTGGTGCCCTATATAAGCTCTACCACCCTCACACCTGGTGCTCGGAGTTCTCCACCCTGGTCACTGTAGTTTCCATATTAGCATAATGCCCCTCCTTGATGGTATCAGCCAACCCTTGGTGCCCTATATAAGCTCTACCACCCTCACACCTGGTGCTATCCTCCATTTTGAGGGCAGCCACCGGCCGCCCACTTTGGGTGCAACCCGGTAGATTCTTTTCCTTTAATAAAGCTTGATCGGTACCCGGTGTCTCGGCTCACTTTCTTTCACAAACTTGCTGTGTCTGGCACCTCACATCATTCCTACCATTGAATCCCACACACACACTATTCAAACAAGGTCACAGACCCTGGTCTCAGGCTTACAGCCTAAGGGCAACAGAAACACCTAGCGGTTCATTTTGTGTCTCAGGCACAAACTCTTCTCTCTCAGCCTTCATCCTTCCCACGGTGAGAACATTAACTGAGGGATAACCCCATTCTGCAGCCACTATGACACCCTGTTCCAAGCTACAGCCTCTGCTCAGAGGGGCCTAGGGCCTGCCCTGTGAAGCTGGAGGCACAGAGGAAGGCAGGAGCCATGCAGGAAGCAAGTCCACATTATCCAGGCAGAAACGTAAAGCCCTGGCTCCTTACCCAGCACCGCCTCCTGACAGGTTTAAAAAACCCTGCTTTCTAGGCAAGATCAGGATATAACCAGCACCATTGGCAGTGTAATCTGAAACCCAAATCATGACAGGAAGGAAGAGAACAGACACTCAAAGAGGAGAAACAGCATTAACAGGGGAGAGAGAGAACAAAACATACCAGAAAACAGACATTGAGGTCACCTCATGGTTAAAAGGACACTAAGCAGTCCAGGCTACTCAGCAAGAGTAGAGGCTGACCTACTTTCCACAAAAACTGAAATTAGCACATGTTCATCTCACTCTCAAAACAGAAGTGCACAGAAAGAAAGAAGGAAGGAACAAAAATATAGGGGCAGCAAATCCCTGGCAAGATCTCAAGTCTGGAGCAGACCCAAAACTAAACAAACTCTGGGGAAAATGCTTCTCTAAGTGACAGCTGAGATAAAAACAAACACAATCTCAGAAAAAATCAAAGTGAAAGCTATCTCAGATTTACCAATGAGTAAAAAAACTAAGGGAGTCTTTAATCCTCCTGCATAGCAGAAGCCACCAGCCTGCATGTCGAAACTCTGAATGTCAAATTGGAAGGAACTTTTGCAAAGGAGAAGGCAAAAACAGGAAGAAATATTTTCTATTTTCTGAGCTGCCAAAGGCCAAGAGTGGTGTGTGCTAAGTGTGTGCTGAGTGTGCACTAAGCATGTAACTGATCCCTCCCAGGTTACAACCATGCAGAGCATGTAGTCCCTGAGCGTGAACTCCAGGTAACGCCACCACCCGACCCCCCAAAGCATGACCATGGATGGACATTTAACAAGGCAAGAGATCAATTAACACAACCTGTGGATAATGGTAAAACTGAAAGAGTAAGTGTCACGGACAAGCCACACACAGAGTCAGAGACAAAACTGTCTTCTCGGGCTCTGTCTTTCTGGGACCTGGTGGAGCCAGGACACAGACAGAAAAACATCTCCTGTTCTGATGCAGGATCACAGCCAGGAGGAACACACGAAGACCAGTTAATACTGTGCCCACATTCCAGTGAAGAAACTATTATCCTGAATTGTTTCACTTATAAAATGGTTAATTAAAGTTATTTAACATACTGAAAATACTGTCAATTACAGACTTCAGCACCATTTGGTGAAACGAAAGCTGCTTAGATAACATTAAAGTGGCTATTATTTCACCAAAGGAACAAAAGACAAGTCTTGTTTGTTGACCTAGCAGGACTTTATTTCCAAAAGCTCTCAAACACCAACCTGCAAAGGAGCGGTGCCTCACATGCAGTTCATTCACCACGCGGAGTTCAGTGCAGAGCTTCAACATCAGCAGCATGGTCAGAATTTAGCAGGACTTTATTTCCAAAAGCTCTCAAACACCAACCTGCAAAGGAGCGGTGCCTCACGTGCAGTTCATTCACCACGCGGAGTTCAGTGCAGAGCTTCAACATCAGCAGCATGGTCAGAATCATAACTATGCTCTGCCACAGGAGAGGAGACTCAAAATGCCTCCCAAACCTGGGGAGGAAAAGAAGCCACCACGTCAGGAGGGGTGCGGCTGCCAGCCCCTCCCTGCACACCCAGGTCCTGAGTAGCATCTGGGAAAGCTGCCTCTGGAAGGTGACATCCATCCTGCCGCAGCACTGCCTAACCCTGGACCCCAGCACCATGTGTGGGGCTTTTCCAAAAGCCACATCCTCCCCTCCCAGGGCATCACTGTCCTCCACCCAGGGCCCAGGTACCATCCCACAGCACAGCCAGATGTCCAAGGCCCTCACTGCAGAGGTCCCTACCGCCACCAGGAGAGCAGCCCAGTTTCAAGCCCACAGCAGCCTGCTTCCTGCCTGGGCAAGGCGGGGTCTCCTGACCAGAGCAGCCCAAAGTGCCAGCAGGACTGCAGGGGGCCCAGCACCAAGTTTCTACCCATCCCCCACCACAGAAGAAGAGAAGGCAGGTGAGGGCATGGCCCCCCATCCCCGACCTAAGGCCCCTGACCCAGGCCTCTCTCCCCATTACCTCCACCCCAGGTCTCTCCCCTACCCCAACCCTCACCCAGGCCTCTCTTCCCACCGATCTCCACTCTGTCCCAGCCACAGACTCCCAGGCCTTCTTGATGATTTTTTTTTTTTTTTAAACCAGCATTGAGCATCTCATCAATTCAGCCATAAGCCTGGGGGGGGGGGGGGGCTGCAGAACCACATCCAGGGACTGACACGACCTGGGCCTTCAACCTCAGCCACCAGAACCACCGTGGTGCTGTGGCATGCAGACCTGCAGAGTCACCATCTCCAAGGCTAAGCCTGGCACGTAATTCCACAAAAGCCCCAACCCTAATCCTAACCTAACTGTTCTAGAGGAGGAATCCCAGCTAGAATTGGCCTGCAGAGTTTGTGTGACCTGAAGGGTATTTCCAAAACTTGAATTGGTGGTCAACCCATCAAAGCCAAGAGACCTATGTCTCCAATCGCCTTTCTCTTGAGGCCAGGCTCCCATGAGTCACCTCTGTAGGCCACCTTAGGGGTGAGGGTCTCTAAGAGCAGTTCCTGAAGCTCCTAACTGCTGCCGGGCAGGAGTGTGCCTCCCATCAACACAGAGCAGGATCAGAACTCACTGGGACAAATGTACCCCGAGGTCTCGCTGATTGGAAACTAGCACAGTCTACCTGTGAGACACCATCCCACCAGACTGTCGAAGCTGGCTACTGTGAGAAGGAACTGCGCCAAAATCACTCAAGAAATTAAAACAGAAAAAGCATTTCACAGAACTCAGTGGTGATGCCTGTTACCAGCAATTCATAAATGACAAAATTGGACACAGCCTGGTCTCCCAGTTCACAGAGAGCATATCTTTGAAATGTGTGACTACGTGATAAGGAAAAAATGTCCCATAAACGTAGAGAACTAACCCTCAGGTTCAACCCCGTGCCACAAGCCAACTTCCTCAAGCCAGTGTTCATGAGCACAATTCCCCGGCAAGGTGAATTCTATCAGCTCGACTGCTTCTCAGGGAGCTCTGAATGTTCGCTGGACAGCAGGAACTGCACCCTCTGATGGGACATGCCCTGGACAGGAGTGCCCACCTGGGGTAGCTGCCCACAGGTGAGAAGGAGCAGGGCAGGTTGCAGGTGGAGGCTCCCAAGGCAACCAGAAAAAAAGTCACAGATGTTCTCCTGGGGGGGGGGGGGGGGGGGGGGGGGGGGGGAGCAAAGATGGACCCCTCTCCTGAGGCCAAGCCCCCTCCCACGTCT